CCCGGAACCCTGGCAGTCACTGCCCTCTACTCCTCTGGCCGGAGCCCCAAGGCCCACACAGTGAGATATGTAGGCAGGTGGGCCTCAGCTCTATTCTCAAATCCCCAAATGGCCTCTCTGATGAATCCCTGGGCCCTTCACAGGGACCATGCACACTGTGGCTGCAGCACCAGCTCTAGCCCGCCAGGTGCTTGTCCCTCACATGTCGTTACTGCACACACGGGAAGGCCTTCATGTGGCCTAGTCCTGAAGCCAGTTGCTTGGTCAAAACGCAGGACCCAGCCACTGGTTCCCACAGTGTGTTCCCGCCACCTTCCACATTAGCGAGCTTGCATGTTTTATCTCATGCTCCCCCCACAGCAGCATGAACTAGGTGCCCACACCCTCATGCAGATGAGGATGTGAAGACTGAGTGAGGGGCAGCAACACCCCCAGTGTGCCCATGGCCCTCCCTCCACACCCTGGGGCTCCCGTGAGCCTGTGCTAGCTTGGAGCCCCAAGCCCCACTGTCCGCACCTCAGTAGACCAGCTTTGATGAGAAAAGCAGGAACGTAGCACCTCAGCACCCCTCAATCTTGGGTAAACCTCTGGGAGCCGCCATTCCTTTTTGGCTACATCCTTCTGGCTCCCCCCACTTCCTCTGCTGTAACCGAGGTCCCCAGACACATTTCGGTACATTGTAGCCACAGGACAGTCTCCTGAAGGGACTGATGATGGCTCGGGCCTTCCTTACCTCTCTGGGGACTGGGGCCACATCCTCCCCTTCCTCCGACTTCCTGCCAGCCTAGCCTGGCCCTGCCTAGCTCACAGTCCACCCACTGGCTTGCCCCAGAATGTTCCTGCGCCTCCCTTCCTCCTCCAGATTCTCCCCAAAGCCCAGGCCTTGCCCCGCAACACCTCTCCCCACTCACATGTGCCCTCACCACATCGGAGCACTCCCGTGGCAGCACAGCTGTACCTGGGACACAGAGAGGTCTGTGCCTGCCTGAGAGTCTGTCCCAGGTGGAGACGCCTGTTCAAAAGGACAGTTTCCCAAGGGTGGGCCCAAATCATCTCGACCACTGCACCAGGCTGCATGCAGACAGAACTGAGCTCCAGGCCCACCTTGACCACGCATCCTGTGAGTGGGGTGGACAGGGGCTAGACACAAAAGGAGTAGTCGTGGCTCCATTCCAATCAGTGGGCACTTTCCCAGATGCGGACCAGTTGGCTGTACCCACCACTTTGCAGACAAGAAAAAAAAAAAGCTCAGAGAGGCTGGCTAACTTCCCCCACTGGCCCTGCCTGCGCCTCATTTGCCCAGATAAGGTGGATAGAGGCTATGTGCTTAGCAGTTGCCCCTCCCCATGGCTTCCAAACACACTGTTGCTGAAAGTGAACTATTCCAGACAAAGCCAGCAGCTCACGCTCCCCAGGAAAAAACCCTAGGGGCCTCATATCAGGGACGGGTCACGCTATGGGTGGAGTCATCTAAACCTCTTGGCCCAGATGAATTCACTTCCCCTGGAGACCACCTCCATTCACAGAGCAATGGCACCACGTTGAGGCCGGCAGGGCTAGTCTGTTTCAAGACAGCAGGCCCCCAACAATAGCTTACATGCACTCTGCACATCAGAAATTAAGCAGAGCCCAGAATGCTGCAGTCATCTCAGAGACAGAGTGCACAACAGGCTTCCCAGGACGAGTTAAGAGGCGCAGTGCCATACAGCTGGTGGTGTGCTGGATCTGAGTCCAGAAGGAATGTCCAGAGTGGCACACCCTCCTGTCATCAGCAGATCAGTTGCCCCTGTCTGCCCGCTTACACTCTGGTATGGCCACTTACAGAAGCCCGTACAGTGGGCAGCATCTCACCATTTAGATGTGGCTCCTGAGGGCCAGAGAGGTTCCAGACTGCCCACATGTGTAGGGCCCTAGTCCCTAGACCCGTGGACATGTCACCTCACGTGGCAAAAGGAATTTTGCAGATAAAATTAAGTCAAGGCCCCTGAGAGAGGGGATGATCCTAGACTCCCCAGAGGGCACAGTGTCAACATAGAGTCCTTGTAAAAGAGAGGCATCAGGGTCGGAGTGAATGATGAAAGAGGCTGTGCCGCTGGCTGTGAAGGTGGAGGGAGGGGCCGAGAGCCCAGGATATGGTGCCTTTAGGAGCTGGAAAAGGCCAGAAACAATTTTCTGTTGGAGCCTCGCGAAGGACCAGCCCTGCCCACACCTGAATTTAGTCCCGTGTTGGACTTCTGATATCCAGAAATATGAGATAATTTTGTGGGTTTTCGGGTCTTTTTATGTTTTTTAATTTTCATTTTTGCTAATCCTCTCTTGAGGATATTTTTCCATTGCTTTTTAGAGAGAGGGGAAAGGAAGGGGGAAGACACAAAGAGAGAAACTTCGATGTGAGACAGACACATCCAGTGGCTGCCTCCTGCACTAGTCCCAAGGAGGGACGGGGATTGCGCCTGCAACCAAAGTACAAGCCCTTGACAGGAATCAAACCTGGGACCCTTCAGTCCATGGGCCAACACTATTCACTGAGACAAACCAGCTAGGGCCATTTCTGTTGTTTTAAGCCACCAAGTTTGTGGTGACTTGTTATAGCAGCTGCAGGACACACACTAGGGCAGGGCAGAGAAGGCAGTGACCATGCTGCGGCCTTCCTTCATGGATCCTTCTGGGGGGTGGCTGCTGAGAGGGTTCCTAAGGTGCGTGTGCTCAACACAGGCCTTTTCTCTGCCCAGTCCCATGTGGCCCACTGTGGATATCCAACCAATCCTTCTGTCTCCATCATCCCCTCTCTCCATAACCCCACTCCCCACCCCGCTGAGTTCCAAGATCCCCTAGCCTGCTGGAGAGGCAGTGGGTCTTCATTCTGCCAAGAGGGACATTTGCTGACTGTCGGCCCAGAGGCCTGAGGCAGGTACCGGGGTTAAGCAGGCAAGGAGACAGACATGGTCCCACCCTCCTGAGCTTCTTTTACTAGTATATCAGAAGCAGCAAACCAGAAACGTGGAACTAGGTGAAGAACTATTTTGGGTGGTGGTACCTGGTACCAGGAAGCACATTTTAAAAGCTCCAACATTCAGCTGTCAAAGTAAAGGCAAGTTGGAGGGAGTGGAGGGGGCGCTGGATCCCAGCACCCAGTCTGGGATGTCTCTCCAAGACCAAGTACCCACGGAGGGACCCATGGGATACCAGCACGGTGGAAGGGCTCCAGAACTAACTCGTCCCAAGCTCTGACCTGGTAAATGCAGGTTAACATCTCCAGTGGGGTGAGCCTTCCTGCTGGCCAGCAGGGATGTCGCTCTTGTTTCTAAATTGACCTGCTACCTTCAGAAGCACCCCCCCCCCCCCCGCCACACACACACACACACACACACTCACATATCAGGTTTTCTCAATGAGGAGGTGGAGGTAGACAGACAAGGTGGGTACATGTGGGGAAGCATGGGACTTGGTTGGAAAGTCTAAGGATTCTCTGAAAGGTCAGAGGTCTCTGGGGGACCTTGCCAAAGGTGGCACACACTGCCTTGACTTTTCCAAACAAGTCTGAGTCCCCAGGTGTTTACTTAGACACGTCCTTGCTTAAAAGACACTATAGACACGGGTCTCCTCAAGGATGCTTACCCTGCTGATAGCATCTAGTAGTTAATTTTAGTACAAGCTGTTGTTACAATAAAAGCCTAAGGAGGCAGGCAATCAAGGCTGTTTTTGGCTCCTTATGCCAACCAGTCCCTTAGCCTCTCTTCCCCAGAAACATGTGTCAGAGTAATCACTCATCTGTCATTCGGGGTCTGTTGGTCAGTCCCGGCAAGGCACAGACCAAGATCTCAAGAGAGTGATAACTAGCAGGTCCAATCAGGCACAAATGCACACCCAAACCACGTGACCTGGGAAATACAACACACAACCAGGCCTGCCCACCAGCCCAGAGACCCTGCTCCAGCCTGAACTTGGAACTAAGGCCTGGAGCTCGGCCAGTGTGCAGACTGGCTCATTCCAGAAAGCTGAAGGCCACCTCAGTCCAAGAACTGGGACCTCAGGGGACACCGAACTTCAGCTTGGGGACCCTTCTCCAAAACTGCTGCTTGCTGCACCACAGAAGAGCAGAGACTCCCAAGCTGTAAGAGAAAAGTCTGGCCAATTCATCACCAGAGAAATGAAAAGTATCTGCAAGGCAAACACACCATGTTTTAAAAAGAGACAACTAGGGCCCTGACCGGTGTGGCTCAGTGCGTTGGATGTCATCCCATGCACCAAAAGGTTTGCTGGTTCAAATCCTGTCCAGGGCACGTGCCGGGGTTGTGGGCTCAGCTCCCAGGATGAACTGCAAGAGGCAGCCGATGACGTTTCCCTCTCACGTTGATGTTTTCTCACTCGCTCTCCCTTTTATTCCTCTCTCTCTGAAAATCAATTAAAAAAAGACAACTAGGAAAAAATCTCCTACCCTGAAGATAGACCAAAGGGGCATAGGACATGAATAACTGTACCTGGAAAAAGTACTCGTCCTCACTCACCGTTGGAGAAGGCGGTTCCCACTTCCTCGCCCTGAGTGATTCTGAGATTAGGTGACACGCCCTTGCCACGGATACATAGGGATTGCTCGCCTGCACTGCTGGCAGCAGCTGAAACTAGTACGACTTCTAAGAAAGGCAGCTTGGAAGGCAGTTTGGCAACTGCTTGCAAAATCTAAAAAAGCACATCCTTTCTGATGCAGTGTTTCTACTTCTAAGAATTAGCCCTTAGCAACTCTGGGCGTGTGCGCGCAAAACCTCGTGTACAAAGTGGTTCTGTACAGACAGCTTATGAGAGCAGGGACCATGAGGAGTGACCCAAGCGCTACCTTAAGGGCAGGACTTCTTCCCCACCAGGAGACAATGAAGTAAAGAGGGCAGGCCTGAAGGTCTTGGGGACCCGCTGCCTGTGAGAACAGCATTGTGGGGATGAGCAATTTCTGGAAGGCTGGAGAACAAGCTTGTAGCAGAGGTTGCTCTTGGGGAATGGAACTAGAGCAGTGGTTCTCAACCTTCTGGCCCTTTAAATACAGTTCCTCATGTTGTGACCCAACATAAAATTATTTTCGTTGCTACTTCATAACTGTGATGTGGCTACTGTTATGAATCGTCATGTAAATATCTGATATGCAGGATGGTCTTAGGCGACCCCTGTGAAAGAGTCGTTCGACTGCCAAAGGGGTCGCGACCCACAGGTTGAGAACCGCTGGACTAGAGGATGGGGGCCAGGAGAAAGGAAGCCTTGCTCCCCCGGGCTCATCAGTTGGCACTTCTTGAAATCAGTGAAAGGGAACATGTTAGCTATTCAAGGAAATAAGCCAGCTGGGAAGAGGTTGAACTACATAAGTCCAGGGCCCGACTGGAAGTCTCCGTGGTAGGAGCAGCACTGGCTGCACCAGAACATGTGCTGCCTTTGCTGTATGATGTTAGAGAAAGTAATGAGTTCTCTGTTAACAAGCAGTCACTTAGCACAGACAATCTGTAAGGCCTTGTGATGGGGGAGGGGGGCGTGGAAGGATGGGGCCAGTGGCAGTGCGAGAACTCTGGCCTGGAGAGGTACCTGCCCTGCTGCCCTGAAGGGTGCCAACTGTAGGCTGGTGTCCCTGGTCTGGTGAGGTGGCCAAAGCCCTGGCTGCTTGGCTTCCTACTATGACTGTTCCCTCTGCAGGGTACTGTCATCAGGGGTCTCACTCACCCACCAAGCCAGCCCTAAAGACGAGGGTCTCCTTTTCCCTGGGTCCCCCAGAATGAGGAGTCAGAAGGCCTACCTTCTGCCGCTGCCTCAGACAAGCCTCACCCTGCTCCTCTGGAAAAGGGGCACAACTCCAGTCACCTAAAAGGGCAGAAATGAGGTCCCCACATGGCTAGGGCTACATGTCAGGGATTCTTGACAACCCGGGGGGCTGTCTTCCCGGGCAATCCGAATGTGCATGCTTTCCAGTCAATGGGCAGCAATGGAGCAATGGCCCTTGTTTTCAACCACCTGCCCAATGGTCTGCTGCACCCTCCTGAGTGGGCTGTCCCTGCCACTCCTGGCTACCCGAACCTCACCGTTCCTATAGGATACACATGGCTCCCACTCACCAGATACTTGGGGAGAACAGGTTGCTCTAACTAACCTGTTTAAACTAGCAGTTCTCACTGGAGTGACTGCCCCCAGGAGACACTGTGGTCTCATGACAGGGATGCTCCTCAACCCCCTCACAGTGCCCAGGATGGTCCCCACAGGGAATGACCCAGCCCTTGTCATAAGTGCCCAGACACCTGGTATAGGGCCAGACCATGGAGTGCTATCTGCTGAGTAAGACAATGGTGCTTGTGTGGGCAACCCTGGAGTTAGCAGGGCTAGAGGGGACTGAAGACAATCCTGTGCCAACACCTGCGAGTCCTTTTTCCAGCTGAAGTCAGGGATAGGCGGAGTCCCATGTGAGGAACAATAAGGGAGGCGAGCTTGAACTCTACCAAGTCACCCCCTGGCCTCCCCACCTCACAAATGAGAAAATAAGGTGGAAGAGCCTGTCTGGGCACGACCAATCACACAGCATGCAGCACGTCATGATCATCTTAGAGCAGTGATGGCGAGCCTTTTGAGCTCGGCGTGGCAGCATTTTGAAAAACCCTAACTTAACTCTGGTGCCGTGTCACATAGAGAAATTTTTTTATATTTGCAACCATAGTAAAACAAAGACTAATATCTTTGATATTTATTTTATATATTTAAATGCCATTTAACAAAGAAAAATCAACCAAAAAAATGAGTTCGCGTGTCACCTCTGATACGTGTGTCATAGGCTCACCATCACTGTCTTAGAGGCTTCCTCAAGAAGGGACATGCCGTGTTGTAGGTACACAGGGCCTCCTGTATGGCCTGGATACAGGTTGGCACACATCCTATGAGTTCACAGCAGGCCCAGGGCCCCCAGGATCAGAGCACTCTGCTTCCTGAAGCCAAGTTTCAAGGCCTTCGAGATCTTGCTTATCTCGAAAAATTGGTCCTCGCTGTTTTTTATATTTTGTAAGGCTCTTTAAAGAGCCAAAAGAAGACATTCTTATGACACATCTTGCATGACTCAGTATTTTTTAAATATATTTTTATTTAATTCAGAGAGAAGGAAGGAGAGGGAGAGAGAAAAAGAAACATCAATGATGAGAGAGAATCGTTGATTGGTTACCTCCTGCTCGTTCCCCACCAGGGATCGAACCCCCAACCTGGGCATGTGCCCTGATCGGGAATTGAACCATAATCCCCTGGTTCATGGGTTGACACTCAACCACTGAGCCACACCAGCCGGGCCATGACTCAGTGTTTTGAGGCTAACTGTAGTCTGGGTGTGCTACCTATGAGATGGGTTACACCATCGGCACTGCTGACCCTGGGATCCAGTCATTCTCTGTGGGGGTCACCTGGGCACTATGGTGGATTGAATAGCACCCCTGTCCCCACCCCTCAATGCCAGAAACAACTGTGACAACCACAAATGCCCCAGCCATCGACAGTGTCCATTGAGGGCAGAATCACCCCCAGGTGAGGGTGGGGCGATCGTCCCTTGGAGAAGTTGCACCAGCCAATAGTGAGAGGGGTCAGGTGGCACCTGCTATGCACGAGGGATATGGAGAAGGAGAGTGAGGAAAGCCTCTAGCAGGAGCCTGTGATCACCTGCCTGGACGTGTCCTATGCAGGCAGCAGGGTCTCGGATGAGCGGACACTGCTCCTGGCCCCATGAGGGGATCATCAGAACATGGTGGCAAACTCCACCTGCAACCCCTCCATGAGCCAACACAGCTCGAAGCACTTGACATGCTTTATTTAATTTTGTCCCCAGGGACGGCCCATCTCTCCATTTCACAAACTAAGGAACTCAGGGCCCTGGCAATTGGTGGGTGGTGGAGCTGGGACTGGAACTCCACCTGCCATGACCGCTCAGGTCATAATGTTCCCATGGATGAGGGTCCCAGGCTCAGTATGGAGCGAGCCAGCAGTCTAAAGCTGAAAGGACTGCCCTGGATTACATCACATGTGAATCTCCACCAAGCACTTCCTGCAGGAATCATCCAATTAGGGGTCATGATGACAAATGAATGGGGGCTCCCTGGGAACTGTCATCTCGAGGCACAGACTTTCACAGGCCCTAAATCTCCAGAGAAAAGTGCACACAAAGGGAGGAACCAGGAGGTTGGGAGGTGACTCAAAGCGCCCCCAGATTACCTGTGGGCCTTGAACCAGCCCCTTCCTCTTAGAAAGGTGGGGGATCTTGCTAGGAGCCCAGGGGCTGTCATCTTATTCCCAGCAATTCTCTAAGGGGTTGTTGGAGAAGTCCCATATGAGAAAGATCCAATAAGAAACAAGGAATTGTCCAATTTTCTGCTCACGTTGGATCTGGGAGGCTAGGAGAGGAATCTGACCTTGTTCTATTGCTGCAGGTCAGGCAAGCCTGTGTCCAGCCTAAGGCTCCCTCCCTCCCACTACAGCAAATCCAAATACTATAGAGTCCGAGTGGAGCGAGCGAACTGAGTGGTTGTGTAGCTGCGTCTCGGGGAGACCGGGAGCGCTTGCAGCAACTGAAGAAGCTTTTTCACCATTTGACAAGGATGGTGATGGAACTAATACTGTAACAACAAAGGAATGGGGAGCTGTAATGAGGTCTCTTGGGCAGAATCCCACAGAAGCAGAGTTACAAGACATGATAAATGAAGTGGATGCTGATGGTAATGGCACAATTGACTTCCCAGAATTTCTGACAATGATGACAAGAAAAATGAAAGAGACAGACAGGGAAGAAGAAATTCGAGAAGCATTCGCGAGTTTGATAAGGACGGCGATGGCTATATTAGTGCAGCAGAGCTTTGCCATGGGACGACAAACCTTGGAGAGAGTTAACAGATGAAGAGGTTGATGAAATGATCAGGGAAGCAGATATTGATGGTGATGGTCAAGTAAACTATGAAGAGTTTGTATAAATGATGACAGTAAAGTGGAGATATTGTACAGAATGTGTTAAATTACTTGTACAAAATTGTTTATTGGCCTTTCCTTTGTTTGTAACTTATCTGTAAAAGGTTCCCCCTACTGTCAAAAAAAAATGCATGTATA